AGAGAGAGAGAGAGAGAGAGAGAGAGAGAGAGAGAGAGAGAGAGAGAGAGAGAGAGATGGCAGCGCTTACTTGTTAGCATGGTATGACCGTCAGGCCTTAGGTTTGGGATGCGTTGTGTCCAGTGTTTCTTTGAAAATGGTCTTGCTACGTTGGTTTAAGTGACGCTGTCTCAGGAAATCTCGACCATAACAGGAAGAATCGTTGAGTAAGTACATGTGATGTAAAGGACGCTGGACCCAGTTTGCATTATTATTATTATTATTATTATTATTATTATTATTATTATTGATACAAAGTCCGATTCTTCAATCTTGTTAAAAAAAAGGACTCTTTGTTTATGTGTGCTGGTCGATTCTTCTATTTTAACGGACGTCCCAGAAAGACGACAATTCCATTATAAATTCTCGTTTCATTTCGCTGCAGGTTCAGCTTTCTGCGGCGTGCTTTTTCTTTGCCGTTCTCCCCCAGTTCATTTTCGCGAAGGTCATCCATCGGCTTCCAATTTTTTATCTCGGATTTCTTTTGTGCTTTGTTCTTTTTTTTCAGTATTTTACTATTTTCTCTGACTGAAGTTTCACCCTTCCTTTGCTTTTTCTTTTTTTTTTTGTGTGAAGGATAATGAACTTGGAGTTGGCGCTCAAGTATGCTCCTAATTCCTGGAGAGCTCTAAATCAGTATTTGGAAGCCATGAATTCAAGGTCAGTGCTCTTTTTTACGCGCTCAAGTTGCAACGAACCTTCTCTCCTCCAATACACCATGCGGTCATTATAGCTGTGTATGCACTTGGGGTATCTTTCAGTCTAAAATTCTAAATGCAGCTATAATGACGGTATGTTGTAGTCGGGAGGAGAAGGGAAGGTAGCATCTTGATGAACTGACTAGCCTTTACAAAGTTCCTGACACCCCCCAAGTCTAAGAAAGCTGTCAGTCTAAGAAAGGAAAGGGGAAAGATCTGTCAGTCTAAGAAAGCTGGCTTTCTTAGACTTGGGGAGAAGGGAAGGTAGCATCTTGCGGTCATCGCTTCCAAGGCGAAGATCTGACGGTCTAAGAAAGCTGAGATTGACTATGGGTCAATTTGCATGGACGGTCAGATCTTCGCCTTGGAAGCGATGTGTGTGGATGGATGGATGGGATGGAGTGATGGAAAGGATGGCCGGTGGACGGACGGATCGATGGATGGAGCGACCGTTGCATGGTTCAATCAGTGGATGAGTGAACAGACAGATGAATGGATACATCCATGGAGGAAGGTCGTATGGCGGATTGGCGGATTGGAGGATTGGTCAGTTCGCCGACCGAAGAAGTTTGTTGAAGCTCCAAGAGATGCACTTAAGCTAGGCTATCAGAGTGGCCCGGGACCACTTGCCCGGCCAGGCCAAAGAAAAAAAAGAAAAAAAAAAAGAAAACGTTTTTTTTTTTTTTTTTGCTAAAGAATGTCGATGTGACGCTGAGGCAAAAGTTATTCACTTTGTTTTTCTGCGTAACATCGTTTTTTTTTTGAGATTTTGGGACCTACTTTGGCCCTTGCACGGCCAGGCTGCCCGGCCAAACAAGGTCTCACTTGGGCGGCTCCGGCTGGTAGCCGAGCTTCCCTTCCCTTTTCCCTTCTCCTTTCTTTTCCCCTTTCCTTTCTTTTCTTTTTTTTTTAATAGAAATATACAGCTGTCTTCTCCTCATCGGGTGTGACAAGCTGTCTTTTACTTCCCTATTTTCTTCTCTCCATACTGTTGCTTTCTCACAATTGCTGCCTACCCCTATCTACTCCTAGTCCAGTTGCCTTTTTTCCTTGAAACCTATCTATCTACGCGAGTCGTGTGGCCCTCGAAAGTTATGGGTTCACATTGGCCTCTTCTCTGTACATTCTTCTCTACGCTGGGAGCAGTACCCCGTCTGAACCGAAGCGTGTTGCAGGGGCCAGTGGGTTCACACCATTTACGACTGGGCACGATATGGGAAGCGGAAGCTACTTCCACAACCAGCTACCGTCTTCACCTGAATATAACGCCCGGTCATTATAGCTGTATTTGGGCCATTTTTCAGTCCAGATGCAGCGATAATGACCGGGCGTTCTATTCGGGTGAAGACGGTAGGGAGGCCCAAGCCCATTATCTACAGTGGTGAACCCCCGAAGAGTGTCGCAGGGGGGGGGGGGGGGGGGGGGGGGGGGGGGGGGAGGGAATTGAATGGGCAACGGGGGACATCGAACCCACGACCTCGTGAATACCACTTTCATGCTCAACCATCTGACCTAGCCCGGTTGGGCTCTTCCCCCTTTCCTTTTCCTTTTCCTTTTCCTGTTCCTTTTCCTTTTCCTTTTCGTTTCCTTTCCTCCTCGCCTTCTTTATCTCCCTTTGTTTCCCCTTTTTCCTTTGCTTACCTTTCCTCCTCCCCTTCTCTATCTCCTTTTGCTTCCCATTTTCCTCTCTCCTCCTTGCCTTTTTTTTCCTTCGGGCGACTCGTGATTCCTCTCTTTCAAAACTTTAACCTTGTTCCTTGCACTTTTGTTTTTCTTCTTTTCCCCTTTTGTTGTTTTTCCGCGCGCTTTGTTTATCAATGAAGCAGGTTCACGAATGTGATGACAGAGTTGCAGAAGGAGATCGAGGTGGTCAATAGGGAGCGCAAACTGAATCAGGTCCGTCCGATGACACCATCAAAATTCCCCAAGACAAAGAAACTAGAGAAGAAGGAATGGAATTCGAAAAGCTCTTTGCCGGAGAGAAAGACTATTTTTGTTCACACCTCAAAATGCAAAAAACTTGAAAAAAGTATATTTCTTCACACTTCACACTTCACACTTCAAAATTCAAAATTCAAAATTCGAAATTCAAAATTCGAAATTCAAAATTGACTTATTGTGAAGTTGTGAAGAAAAAGAGGAAAGTGGGGATTCAGCATTTTGACACCACAAGCTGTCAGTGAGTGGCACTCCACTCTAAATCAGAAATCTTCTTCACTGAAATTGATATTGAAGTGGAGTGGCAACACAACCGTAACATCGTTTCAGAAATCTTCCTAAAGTTCCCTCTCTCTCTCTCTCTCTCTCTCTCTCTCTCTCTCTCTCTCTCTCTCTCTCTCTCTTTCTGTGTAATAGTTTGTATGCTGTTGAACAGTTTGAAAAATTATGGGTGGGCCCCTGAATACTCTGGACTTCTGAAGTTGTTGAATGTCGCTGCTGCTCTCGTCGAGAGCACACGCATAGTATGTGACACGGGTTTGAAAAAAAAAGCGTTTTTAGACCCGTACCTTCCCGTCTATGCGACCCGCTGGAACATTTAGACGGGGTGCATGCGCATGTGCATGTGCAATGCACTACACCGAAACGTTGAGATCCATGTGTTCGTGTTGTGCACAATGCCAATGAAGTGAAGTCCCTATTATTACGATATTGAGCATCTTTGAAGTGGCTAAGCTTCTCTCAAGAAGCCTGCTTATGCCCAACCCGGCTTATGAAATGGGTGCCTGGACTATCAGAATGGCCTGGGACCAGTTGCCCGGCCGGGCAAAAAAACAGAAAAAATCGGAAAAAAAAATAAAAAAAATCCTAACTTTATTTTTATTTAAAATTTGGTAACGAATTTCGATGTGACCCTGAGGCAAAAGTTATTCAGTTTAGTTTTCTGCGTAGCATTTTTTTTTTCAGTTTTTTTTTTTTTTTTGGGGG